TCTTTATCCAATAATATATGAGATATTTATAATCCAATAATAAAATATTATAATGAAAGGTCATTATACAATAATATTAATAAAGTTGCTAAAGAATATTAATATTATATTTTAAAACTATTTTATACTAAATAAATATATTATCTATTAATAATAATAAGAATTTATCTATCAAATAAAAGAAGATATACTATATAATAATTTCAAAGTAATATAATTTGATAAGATCAAGTATATAAAGTACAAATATAATATAGATATTGATTGAACATCTTTATTATAATATAATTTGGTGAATTTACTTTCAGATAAAACTCGAATTATTAAAGATTATATTAATGAATTAGATGATTTTTATTAATTCAAATTACTAGATCTCATAATTTAGAGAAAGTATACTAATTATATAATCACATAATATAAGTAATAATTAGAGAAATAGATATAAGTGATTAATTAATTAATTAGTTTTTTTTTAATTAGTAAATATTAATTAAATTTTTATTATTAAAAGCTTTTTACATATATTTTATTAATTTTTAATTTCTTACTTTTATTATTAAAGATATAATTATTTTATTTATATATATTTATTAATTAAATAAAATTTTTTTATTAATTATTTTAATCATTATTTTTGAATAATAATTGATTTTCTTTTTTACAAGTATTATTTATTTTATTTAATTTTTATTTATTATTAATTTCATACTCATAGTCACATGATTATATAATATTAATCATATAACTTTGAACATGTAATATTAAAATTACAAATTTATTAATTTATAATAAGAATATATATTTAAAAATTAACTTGTAATATTATTAATATTAATATAATTAAAAACAGATTTTTTTATATTCTAATAACTTTAAATATATACCAATAGTTTAATAAGACACATTAATATTATAATTATTAAGTTTAATAGTAAGAAAATATAATAATATTGAAATATTTTAGCAAATAGATTAATCAATAATTTTTGCTATATTAATTATTATTTTTTTTGGATAATTATTTATTATCTTTGTGCTTTAAAATATTAGTTTTTTGAGTTTTTTAATATTATATCATATAGTTAAAATGAATATCTTAGTGAGTTTAATTAGTTTAAACATAATACAAATATTTTTGTTTTAATAATATAATAAGCTGTGTATTTTTATTTGTAAGCAATCAATAATATTTTAACAATAAATTTTATTTTTAATTATATTATTTAGCAAGTATAGTAAATAAAACTCCTATTTATATTTAATTTGATAAATATAATACAAATTAAGCTAAAATTGATAAAATTTATTTATTTGTTTAATTTAATCTATAAATAATTAAGTTTTTTTGTCACATATTGTATCATATGAATTTTAAAAATATACTAAATAAATTAGAATTTACATAATCTGATTCTTATTAATTATATAATATTTAGCATGTTTTAATTTCAGAATAATCTGTAATAATAATTAATATATAATATATGTACTAAAATAAAATATTAATATAAAAATAATAAATAAATAATAAAATAATAAATAATTTATAAAATAAAATTTTAATTATATAAATATATAACAATTTTCTTTATAATATATTATCACTATTAATTTATTTTTTATATAATTTATATATAAATCTTGAATAATATTTATCTAAATTAATTTTAATTATATATTCAAATTATTATTATTATAGTATTTTCATTTTTATATTTAAAAATAATCAATTAATTTATTAAAATTATCACATTAATTTATTAATTATTTCTTTTTAAAAAGTTATATTATATAATATTAAATTAATATTATAATAATTTAATTAGTATTATATTTAATTTAATTTAATTAATATTATTAAATATATAAATAAAACAACAAATTTGTAATATGTAAATTAATTATAAAGAAATAAAAAAAAATAAGCATTAACAAAAATTAATTCAGTAAAGAAATTAACTTGTATATAAGTATTATCTAGTTACAAATACTCTTCTTTTAAAAATTATTAAAATATAGTCACTATTATTCATCTTGTAAATATTTTCATTTGTAGAAATCACAAATTAGTGACAGTATTCACTTTATAATAAAACTTAATTAAACTTATGATATAATAAATAATAATCAAAACTATTTCTAATAAAATTCATTTGATATAATAAATTTACTAATAAATTTTCAAAAACTCTTGATATAGTAAATTTTTGAAAATTTCTTACTAATAGATTTTTTGATACACTACTATATAATTTTAATTAGTTACAAATCAGGACGTCACTATTTAAATCACGAATAGTTTTATTGGTTGAAAGTTAATGTCGTCACTATTTAAAATCACATGAATTGTTTTTATCGGTTGAAAATTAATAGCGTCACTATTCACAAAATGGTAGCTTCCTAATTAAAAACTCGAAATTTAAATCACTACTATTCCATCAATTTAACTCAAAATTCAAATTAAAACCACAAGTTTTATTTCTAAAGATAAGAGAATGAATCTTGTGGAGATTTAAAGCCGACGGTACCATCTGAAATCCTGATTCGGAAGCACTTTGTAGATCAAATTGGGCGAAACTAATTTCGCCCGAAACACTGCTAGTTTGCTATTTGGTATTGGATGTCATCAAAAATTTGAACTAAACTCTGATTAAGCAGTAATTTACTATATTGGGGGATTTAAGCAATAAAAAGTACAAAAATTATATACTTGTGACTTAATAGAGTGTTCTTATGGTGCATAACATTTAGTCATCAAATGTTTGTATTTTATAGAATGAATAAACTTCTCAACTAATCCGTGAATATGCTCAGAGAGGACATATTCTATCATATTCACGGATCAAATTTTATATTTGCTTCTCAGTTGAGAAGTTTATACATTTTATAAAATACAAACATTTGATGACTTTAGATGTTATGCACCATAGAGCCTCGTATGCGTGTATGTTTTAAGAATATAATTAATTTATTCGTGCTCAGACACTTGACTTTGCTATATGGTTTATTAATTTATTTATAATGAAACTTCGTAAAACAAATTTTATTAGATAACGATAAAACATGATACATATTTATGAATGTGATTGACATATGGTTGATGAATCATTGAGCACATTTCTACTATGAATATGATTTGAGAGTGCATTACCTCAAATTCCCCCCAGTAATTTGACTTTTCGATATCAAGCTAACTGTGTAAATGCTGTCTTTTTCTGCACACTTTGATACCTTTTTTCTGGGAAAAAGTTTATCCATTATATTTCGTGTTTTCTGAAGCATTTGTATCGTGTTAAGTGCCAATTTACGCAAATTTTATTAAATAATAAAAAATTTCATATATTAAGATTAATATAAAAAATGGGCTGACTAAAAGTCTCAAATCTTGTGTGCTCGGCCACTTCTTATTTAACAAATTAACGCGTACTTAAATCAACAAATAATGCATACGGAGATTCTGACTGTTAATATTTTACTACATATATTGAATTCTAAACTTATAATTGTAGCGGCCATATAAATTTACGAACGCGAAGATTATATGTTTTCTGTTTTACACCAGAGGAATTGGTAACGTATAAAATAATAATTTAATTTGAGAGACTTAATGTGTGTGTGTGTGTGTTGTATATGGATATAGAATTCCTATGGATTCAGAATCCATACAAATCCTTCGGGCAACATTAATCTTATCTCCTAGCACTAGCACTAACCATTACCCTTATTCTAATTCTAGTCATACCCCTATTGTAATTTGGGCCATTTAAATTCACATTGTTATACACATGTGACCGTGTCTAACTTGTATGCTTTGTAATCATCTAAAATACATTGGGGAAAAAAATTAAACGGTGAACACACGTGTATTATAAAAAATGACCACAATGAACATGATTGCTGAAAGCCAAAAAAAAGAACAACGAACATATGAAAGAGCATCACAAAAATGCTCTATATACACGCAAATATATAAAACAAGACACTTTGTTTTAATTTATTATACGCGTCATTTATTTATTATACATGCATAAACTCATAAAAATAATATAAAAATACAATGAACGAAGTTCTTGGAGGTTTTTTTTTGTCTTCAATAATAACCACTTTATCAAATCGGCGAGAACAAAAAGACACATACAAAAGTGCGACAGATAAAAAGCCGATCAGCCAATCAAAGAATATGTTATTGTTGTATAAGTAGAGGGTAAGTGTGAGACAAGTATTTCTTATTTCGGGAGAGATGTTCATTTAATTTATTTATTTATTTGACTATTTAGAATTCCACGTTGTTTTCGCTGCCTTTTTTTTGCTTCAACCTACTAACCAACTATCTCTCTTTCCTTCATTTCTTTTCTCTCATTTCAAAGTCAAAAAAAAACCAAATCCATCAAAGATTCTACCTCAACCGATTTAACCGACCCAACAACAACTAACACACACTCCAAATACACACACGGTGTTTATAACCTGTTGGTATATATTATATATTATATATTATATAGTATACCTCGTCGTCGTGTGTTTTCGGGTGGTGTGTTAGTAGTCGTCGGTTATCATCCATCTTCACATTATCCCACATAGGCAATCAAACAATTGAAATAAAATATTGATAACATTAGCCTTTTTCTATTTTCTTTTCTTTCCCTTCTTTACCAAATTTCGCTTTTTATGCTTTAAAAGATGACGAATTATAACAATAGCAACAACAATAATAAATTTATTAATCAGCTGCTTGCAGTGATATTTTTGATATTTGTGTTTATGAGCACAAACAACAACAAAAATAATAATATTTATTTTGTTGATGCATCTTTTACCACCACAACGATAGCTGGCTCTAATCCTACTTCTCACAAGACCATTATTGAAACCCTTTTTCTAAAAAATATTATTTTGCCAACCCTTTCAACCCTTTTAATTGTTGCAACTTTTTCACTTTTTGCATCACAACAACAAGCAGAAAAGGAATACGAGAAACAAGAACGTCACCAACAACAACATAATAATAGTAATATTCGACAAGGTCACAAACCAACAACTAACAATTTCATATCTTCAACTTTGACAAAAATTCAAGAAAGAAAAGAGTTGGGACAACGAGAGCAGATACAACAAGAACTAGAACAAGAAATAACTTTTCAACTTGGTGTCTATTTGAAATTAGCGGAATTGGTTCAATTTGGTCAAGCGGGTCTGAGATCTATTGACGAGCAAAGAGAAGGAGAATCACTAATTATAATTGATGAAGAAATAATTAAAATCAGCGAAATCAGTTCAATTGATAGTATTAATAGTAAAAAAGTGAATCAAGTGAAAGAAAAAGAAATGTTTAAGAAAATTGACTTGTTAGAAGCAAAATATAATGATTTAAATGAATCAAATACCACAAATACCGTAACATTCTCAACAAATATATTTTACGAAGAATCAGAACAAGGATCAGAACAAGAAGACGAAAACAAAAGCGAAAAAGAAAACGACACCGACAACGAATATGATATCCTAAACGAAAGAATCTTATCACTGGTAGACCAAGGAAAATCAGCGCTACGCAGATCAACCGCAGATTTCTATAAACACGAAGATCACCTTGACGATATTGGGACAGATCTTGAGTTTCTAGGGTTTATGAATCAAGTTACCGCGGAATTAGGAAAATATTCAAATAGCGATGATGATTCGATATTCTTTGCGTTCCTGGTGACTGCCTTCTTTTATATTGTTCGAATAATTTTGGTGTGTTTTATTTTGTTTTCATCAACATTTACGACACCATATTCGAATAACTCTTTATCGTTATTTTCCTCTTTGATAAAAGTTTCACTTTTGTATATAATACATGTCGGTGTTCTTCGTCTTTTAGATTATTTTAAGGTGCCAATATTATCATCGTCTTCGACACATACATAATCCACGTATTGATTGATCATTTTTTTATCATAATTGTAATATAAGTTTTTATCTATAGACTGTATCATAATCCCCTTGTAATTTTCTAATTTCCGCTTTTATTGAACAATTTGAAAAATTCATGAATCATCGAAAAATATAATTATAATAAATATCGTATTTTCATACTATTTTAGATGATTTTCGCGCATTAATTACAAATATGGCGTGCTATTCTACTTTCTATTATATATGAGTGACCAAATTCAATCGTGTAACGTACAACTTTGGATTTGTTTGTACACGATCTTGTGATTGGTTTGTCATTCTCAAATTAGGAAATGCGAAAATTGCTCGGTAACAAATAAAATTCCACATGTATCTTTCAAGTTAGCCCTATTTGTTACAAGTCGTATTATCGCGTCATTGATTGTATCACTAACGTCTTTAAAAGGCATTCAACACATCATAATTCGAGTATATCGATATTTCTTCGATTCTGAATGATCTCAAGAGAGTAGTTTTTACAGTGTTGGCACATGTCATATGTCATTTTGGCATCCAGAAGGTCATTTGGAAACAAACGTGTGATTTATTACAGCATTATGATAACGTTGAATGATAAATAATAGTATTACAGTCAAAACTGGTTAAAATGAACTCGGGTTATAACGAAGTACATGTATAGTTAAAAAATCTCGATACGAATTTTACATAACATATAAAAAGTATAATAAATCTTATAACGAAAATTCCAAAAATTTTTACTAATAGTTCGGCCACCTTTATTACAATCAAAACTCGTTATAGTCAAACCTCTTTGTAACGGCGCGGTATATCTTTATAAAGAATGAAATTTTCGGAACCGTCATATAGGACACATACTGTATACTCGTTATATACACTGTATAATGAATTTATTTTATAACGGCCAAAAATTTTCAGAACCATGCAACCGTTATAAAGACGTTTGACTGTATAGTGAAGGTGTTCGGGCTATTAGTAAAAAATTTTCAAGAATTCACTATATCAAGAGGATTTATTATAGACTGTTTTTGAGTTCAACTTTTTCACCGAGTTTAATTCACTATAACGAAAGTGACTTGTATTACCATTACTCTTTATATTAAATGACAAATGACATTAATGGCAATGTCATGTGACAAAATGACCTATCATTTGAAAATCCTCAAATTTGCCAACACAACAGTTCACAGGATAATCCTGTGAACTGTGGTATGATTCAAATGCTAAATTTACTGCGGCAACAAATTTCCGAATTGCTTCTAGAAATATCAACCTTTTTAGTTTTGAAAGAGTATTAAAGTATTTCGTCATAAAATTAGCATTCTTTTTTGTTGGGATAATTTGAAACAAAACGATTCATCTAGAGTTGTGGTTGATCTAATCCTATTTCTTTCCAATACGACTCTAATTCTTTGAAATATTGTTACATCATTCCAGTGACTTGAGAAAATTCGGCGAATTCACCGCATTTTTTATTAGGTTTCTGTTATATTGCCGACTCCATAGAACACGATTAAGCAATATTCCAGGTCGGCGAGGCCCCTGATTTTGTTTATATTGGTCGGCATTATTTAACGTTTATGATTTGTCTTGAGTTCCTGTCATTACTATCTTCGACTCAATTATAATTGTGGGGGATCATGATGAAAAACGGATTATGTGGAAATTTTGGCCAAATTTGTTAATACATAAATATATAACTTGAATTAATTTTGCAATAATGTTTTATATTGCTAAATAATACATAAATTTAAGAGTATAATTGTTATTATAATAGCTATTGCAAATTTTCACCATAATCCGTTTTTCATCATGATCCCCCACGTTGATTATTCGTGTTTTTAAATTATATTTTTTTTGTGCATATCAGCTTATGCTTTTAGAAAATAAATTCGTAGCTCATAATTTTCTTTTGACAGCATTTCGTTTATTGTTTTTATAGAATGTACATGCAAATTTCAATCACATGGAAGCAGATTGATCCCGATAATTCAATCAATGTGCTTCCATGTGCTCAAAATTTTACATGTTTTATTCGCATAAAAATCTTACATATTTATCTTACATAGTAAAGAAACAAATTACCATTTTCTATTTAATTTATCTAAATCTGATACTTTTCTTTTACACTAAAAAAAGATAATAAATATTAAATCGGAATCAGCTTTTCAAATCGAATAACAATGCCAAAGAATAAAAGAATCTTACGATTTAATTCGATCTATTAAAGTCTCTATTTGTCCTGCATTTTTCTTCGTCTCCTCTCGAAGTTCATCTAATTCCTTTTGAATCTGTTTCAAACAAAAAAATTGTATTATTAAATAGTTATCTATAATAAAAAGTTTATTTCATAATTACCAATTGAATTGATTCTTTTGTCTTCAAAATTCGATTCTCGTGTCGCACAACGATATGCATTATAAAGTTTTCTTTCTCGATTTTTTTTTTTTCGTTTTGCTTCTGCTTTAACTTTTTTTGTTGATTCAATCGCTTGTTCTTACTAGTCCAAGTATACCAATAAGGTAAGAGTCCGTGTTGTTTCTTAAAAATAGTGATCTCGGGCGATTGTATGATTGGTTTAAAAATTTCTTCGAGAGGACTAATAATGCGATCTTCTGGTTGATTCTTGTGAACGAGTCTTTTAGAGGCTGTGGCGGTTCCAAGATAGTTAGCATACGGGATAATTCCAGATTCATTGCTGAAAGTTTCGTTTTGACAGAATTTGTTTGCGTGAAGATCAGTAACGGATTCAAAGAATTCGGCGAAACCGGAGTCGCGTTTGCTGTGATTTTTGATAGCATTTTCAGATACGGCTTGTTGAGAAACGACGGTTTGGAAAGACATTTTAAAGATTCTAAAGTAAAATTGATAATGTGTATTTGTAACGCGTTTGTACTTGAATATATTTTTTATTTCTCTAAACCTGCTTTTTTACAAGTTTGAACATGAATTTTCGCGCTGCTTAAATAGACTTCTTGAAAATAACTCATCTTTGTTTACAAAGTTTCAATGTAATCAAAAGACCGGTACATGCAACAAAAAAGTACATTTCTAAACTCATCATGCCAAACCATAGCTCCAATCTAATCAAAATCATTCACTTAATAATGTATTTTGCCCTTACATAGATTTGCGTTGTTCTTTGATTTATTTGTATTTCTCAAATCCTTGATATCTGCAATGTCAAGGAGCTTCCTTTAAGATTAGATAATTATTGATCATTATGGTATTAGTTAAATAAACGTATAAATATTTAGTTGGAAATTGAAACGAAGTACTAATAATAAATGATCGAAAATTGAATTTATGCCATTGCACAATCTTAATTCAATTACACTCAACCCTCGCTATAATGAAGACATGGGGTAATGGAAAAATCTTCACTAACTCGAGAGTGAATTGTAAATGTAGAGTTAATAAAATTTCGTCTTAACGTTGAGTTTTATTTACCAATCTTTCAAAGCTCAAAATATTGTTTTTTTTTCGAATAGAATAAAAATCATAATTTTTTTTATAAAAAAAATTCCGGTTTTTTCAAGAAACAATAAACGTTTTATAGAAATTTCTCATCAAAAATGATTTGTTGTACTGTTGCAGCCCGAATCCATGAATGCTGCAACCCGCACATTTCAGTGTTGGATAATGGCCTCAGTGACCTACTAAATGAACTTATTTTAATATTAAATGACCTAATTTTGTCCATCACTAAGTAAATTTACATCTGTATTCGTGCGATTTGCCGTATTAGGATAAAATTAAAACCAGCTCTAGAAAAAGTCGATTAATAGTGCATCAAAGAGTAAGCTACGTGATTCGACGCGTTTCACAATCGATTTAAACTCAGTTATCAAAAAATTTCAACTCCTTGACTCGAAGCTTGACAAAATTATTAACATTATCAATACTCAACAACTTCTACCTCTCATCTCTGCCCAGCTTAAAGAAAAAGATGAACAAACAAATTGCCACTCTCAAATCTCAAAATAATCAACTTAATTCCCCATATATATCATTTTGGTAGGTATGGTATGATTGAGCATTTTGATTGGATACATCATATAATACCAACATGCTCAATCATACCATAGTCAAATAACGTATAATTCGAATGCAAAAAAAATTATGCTATTTATAATAATTGATGCATCTTTTCTGAGTGATTGAATTATCTTGCAAATTGAAGAAAGAGAATCAAAAGAAGTATTAAGAGAAGAATTTGAAGGAGTTTGATTTTTGATTCCATGAATGAAAGTTTGATGATGTAGATTTTTGAATTTTGATTTTGTTAAAGTGATTGTTATTGACTGTTTGATCAAAGATTAGTACTTGTTTATATATTTTTTTGTTTGTTGAGACAGGTAAAAAAATTGTTGATTTTCAGATTTCTATATTATGATTTTTATATAATTTGTTTAATTGTTTATATTAAATTAAGCAATGAAATTTGCTTTTGCAAAGAAATGCTTGGTAACCAGTTTTGAAGTACATGTGATTGTTGAAGATCATTTTTATTTGATTTGTATATCTTTAAATGTGACATGTTATTGTATTGCTAATGCAATTTCTAATTCTGATTCAATTAATATTTATGCAAAGCATTATTATTGATATTTTACTGAAAATTATGAAATAAAACAAGATTTAGTTTTTATAGATAATAAAAATTTATTAAATTTATATATAGTATAATTATAAGAAAAATCTGTGAGTTTGTATTTGTATTTATTATAAAAAATAATAATTTAATTTTAATTTGTAAGTGAAAGAATTCAAACTCTATTATTATCAATTAGAATAAATTAATTATTTAGAATATTATTGATTTTATTAGAATTGGTGAATCAAATTTTATATATTATTATTAGTTGATAATCTTGAAGTATAATTTTTTTATTTTTCAAAATTTTGAAAATATAATTCTAATTAAACTTTGCTTAGTGTTAAGTGAAACATCTTTTAAAGTGATAATGTTGTTGAATATTTGATTAGATATATAATTGATTTGGTATAAATAAAAAATTGAATGTATATAAAAAGTTATACTGCTTGATCTGATTCAAATTGGGAATTTAAAAAGATTTGAATATAAATTTCAGAGTTAAATTGAGTTGATATATTCAGAAATATATACTATATATTTGATTACTTTATTAATAGTATTATGAGTGAATTCAAAAAAAATAAATATTTTATTCTGATTTTATAAGTAATTTTGCTTTTCTATTTATTATTACTATTTTTATAAAGTTTAAGTTATTTATGTATTATTTATATATTTCTAACAATAAAAAATATAAGAAATTAAGCTTTTATATTGTTACCGTTTTGATGGGGCTTTCGAAATACTCAAAGGTATTTATAAAATTTAAGGAATATTCAAAGGGAAA